TTGCAATATGTGTGCTGAAGCTGGAATTTTTAAGTTTTAAAATTGCAATTCTATTGAACACTCGAAGATTTTAGCGGCAGTCGGTGTTCAAATGAATCAGTCCTGTACTTACGATGATATCAAGCAATCGTAGTCAATACTACGGGATTGTATCAGCATCAAATTTTAAGGATTTTGCACTGGATCCAGAAGAACAAGGATTAAGACGTGCAACGCATCATATGATTCGTGCGATGACCGCTGGTATGGCTGCAATAACGTGTCGCGACCCTTTATCAACCACCTTACAAGGTTATCTAAAACAGGCATTCATCAATTCTCTTCACGGCGTTTCCATCGGTCCCGAACAGGTTTGTTGCAAAAGACTTTCTCACGTTGTGCACCCGTCCATCCTTACTTTTTTCTCATTCGTATTTTGTTTGGTAACAAACATGGTGAGCAGTTGACATGTCACTCAAAGTTGACTAAGGTAATCACTGAAATGATTTATTCCTTTGAGAAAACGTTCATTAAAATATTTTAGTGTAGTCTTGTTCAATACATTGCTGTGAGAGTGCAGTATTACCAAATATAATATTACTAGATCCGCAGTGTAATATTTTTATTATTAATAAATGAAATGAATCTTTAGAGAATCAAATCAGATTGGCTAAAGTAGCAAACTTTACATTGCAATTGCAATTTTGCAGCACAAATTGATTGACGAAGCGTCGTTGACGATCGCAGAAGATAACGTTGAATTGGCAACAAATTTCATCGTGAAATCGGCATGTGAAAAGGCAACACCGGATATGGATAAACGAATGGAGAATGAATTCTTGATGAGAAAACAAGCACGACAAGAGGGACGTCAGTACGCCGATCCAGTGGCGTTGGCAAGAGCTCAGTCGTTACCCGAGAAGATCCGGCCTCGTGTTGGCGCGATAACTGCTCAACAGATGGCCATTTATGAGGAATTCTCCAGGTTGGTCCAAATATTCATCTTTAAAATAATGGAGAATATTCTTTTATATGCAACGTGCTGATCTCTTCTTATCAATTTCATTGATTAACATCAAGCGCATTTTATGTTGACAGTTAAGTTCGTTTAAAGTGATGAAGTGGATGAAGAAGCATCGATGAGAAGTGCTTTTATCAGTGACTAAAATTAGTAAAGGATTACACGATAACAGAGATGATGACCGAGTCGATGCTGCACATTCTTTGATGCTTAACTGATTCACATGATCCTGAATGCACCCTCAGGATCATCTGGATTAACTGCAGTCAGTCGTGATTTGGCTAATAAATTTCAGCAAGATTTGTGGATTTAAACCAACAACTGCTGAGGACATGATCGTCGATTATAGTGTTATGAAGTCGTCAACGCCAACGACAATGCAATCAGTCGTTCATCATGTACGTTCCATTTTTGAAGGCATTCTTTTCGCGATCGAGTGGATCACTTTTGCACTGTTTGTGACGATGTGTGATCTTTTACGTTGTTTTCCGAAGGAGATGGTAATGCTGATGGTTATGTGTAGTGTTGTGCAAAGGCA